GTCTCTTGATACCGTTTTTATACCACTGTTCGTCAAATTTTAAATACGAGAAACGAATCCTATCAAATGCCATTTATTGGCTAATCCAAATTTAAAGTTTATATATGATTATATATAATCATACATGGATAAATGCTTTTTATATATAATTTATATATAAATTACATGAACTCATATATAATCATGTCAAATTGTATATGAAACATTTATATGTATATATTTAAATATATTTTAATCAATTGTATAATTATATATAATCATATACATATAATCATTATATATACTTCCATATGAATCTTATATGTATCCATACATGAGCATGTGCATATATGATTTATTGTTCATATCTAGTTATATTTGGAATTGTGCGCCCATATATAATGATATATGTATGATTAGTTTATTGCCTTTCCCCGTAGGGTTTACAAGGCGTTTTTGTGAGAAACGTACCCAAACCTCTTACAACACATCCCCGTATTACCTGGCCATTTGCGACATCACAATCATTATTTTTCCTCTCCCTCCCCGTACCCCTCTTTGCCCCTCTTCCTCTTCCTCTGCTTCTTCCGCGTTGTGTTCTTCTGCCTTCCTCCCTCCTGTCACGGCTCCTCCCTACTTGGCCCATTCTCTTTTCCTCTTATCCTCCTTTTCCTCGTCAGAGCTCATGAGGAGCTTCTCCTCCATCCCTCTGGCGATCTCATCCTCCTCGGATCTTCCTGCGCTCCTGAAATCTTCCCTCCTCCTTTCTAGTCTTCTTTTTTTCTCTTTTCTCTCCCTATCTCTCCTCTCCACCATTTTGTCCTCATCCATCTTCACTCCTATACTGTTCCCTGCTCTCCTCTTTGCCTCCAGCACCCGCCATTTCTTCTCCTCATCCCCCAGATTTACTAATATCGTCAACCAGACCCCTCTCTGGCCAATCACTCTCACCTCTCTTATTTCCACCTTTACCTTCAAACCTTCTGTAAATAGCTCCTTTACTTTCTCCCAATTTGATTCCTTCTCTTCCCATTTCTCCTTCTCGATCCTTATTATCACATTTTTTTCTCATTTTTTCATCGTTCCTTCCTTTTTTCCCTGCCCACCATTTCTTCTTTCTTGCCCTCTCCTCACTATCATCCTTCTTCCTTTTACCTCCGCTTTGCTCCATTCTTTCCACCTTTCTTTTCAGTCTCTTCAGCTCCTCCTCCAGCTTCTATCCTCTATCTTCTCATCCTTCCTTTTCCTTACCATCCTCTTTCACCTTCCTCAGCATCTTTTTTACTTTTTCTTCCACAATCTCTTCCACCGCTTCTATTATTTTTTTCCCCTTGCACTCCATCCTGGATTATCTGTAACATGTACTTTATATTATTCTCCTCTCCTTTTCTCTACTTTTTTCCCTCCCCCTCTCTCTCCCGCCTCCCCCTTCTTCCTTTTACTCTTCCCCTACTCCTTCTTATTTCTCAAACTCCCTTTTTCCTTCCATTCTTTCCCCCTCCATTTCCATCGTCTATTCCTTACTTCCCTCCCCCTTCCTCATCTAGCACCCACCCTACCGCTTCCTGCCAACTTCCACTTCCTAATTTCCATCTTCTACATTCTTCCCATACATGCTCCCACGTTTCCTCCCTATATTTCACACATCCTACATTTCTTCTTCTCTTCCCTTTCCCAGTATTTGCTCTCTCTCATCTCATTCCCTAATCTAAACCTCGCCACCCTTCTCCACCTACTCTCTCTCCAACCTTTCTTCAGATATCCCGGAATGCCCTCTCCTTTTATTACCTTGTACCATTTATTCCGATTCCTCGATATTCTCCCATCTCTCTTTCCTTTGCTTCTCCTTATCTCCTCCAATTAGCTTTCGATACCATTCTTCTCCACCCTCTCTCAGCCTTTCCAGTTCTTTCAGCTCCACTCTCTTGTCTTCAAAGAAACTTCCTCTCTCCCGCTCTCAGCTTGATCTTTTTCTCCCTTCCTTCTCCCTTTTTTTCAATTTTTCCCAACATAGCCTCGCCAGCTCACTTCGTTTTTCCTCCCTCTAACTTTTTCTCGAATCTCCATGCCCTCATCCCATATATAATGATATATGGGCTCATATATAATTTTATATGAAGCACCAAATTTCATATGTAATCACATATAATCATATATATTTATATATAATTATAAATAATTTTTTTTCCCGGGTAGCGCAATCATATTACGACCTACGTAAAATAATTACTGTAAAAAGTGTTAAAAGTTTAATAGTTATTTCATGATATAAGTGTAGAGAGATAGTAAATAATGGAATATATACAGCAAAATACAAGTGCATAGCTCTTGTATTCTTTGTTCAGCTTGATATATTGTATATCCTACCTATATTGTTTAGGATATATGACATTTTTAGCGTGCGGGATTTATGCCATAGTACAAACACTCTGTAAAAATCGAAATCTCCTATGTGTTCTTTTTCCTTCTTTTTTTGGATCATATAGCAATAATCTTTAATGCATCTATTGTTTGTCTATTTTCTTTTTACTTTTCAGTTTTATAATTTGTTTATCATTCTTACACCTTAAGGGGATCCTAAAGCCGTCTGTAATACCGGTTTTTTTCTTAACGCATATCTTTTTATTGGCTTTATGAATTTAAAAATTCTTCTCCAAAGTTAAAGTACGCATCAAAATCTAGGTCATGGTGGTCGAATTTATATCGAAAACGAAAAAAAATTAATATTTTTTGTTATACGTGACGACAATATTTGCTTTGTACAAAAATTTCACAATAAATATCCACAAAATTAGACCGGCATGACCTAGGGACAACATGTAAGAACAATATCGTGCAATTGGAACTAAGAATAAAAGCCTACAAAAAAGATTAATTGTAATGAATGCAATATAACCTATAACCATCCCAGCAAACGAAAAAAGATTGAAAAGAATTAAAACGGGATTGCCAGAAATTCAATTAAGGACTTTCTGAATTCCATTCTGTCCAAAAGGGATGGAAATAGTTTCAATATCATGGAATTCCTTATTTTGGAAAGAATTTGTCTTTTTTGAATCCCATCCAATTCTGACACAAAAATATTATACCATTGAATGCCAAGTTAGGGATTGGAAAGTTTCGTGATGAATTCCATTGAATACCATTGATTCCGTTAACGAAATGAATATCATTGAATGCCAAACTAGGAATTAAAAATTTCCGTATTGAATTCCATTAAATTCCGTCCATTCTGACAATAAAATGAATACTATTGAATGCCAGGATAGGGATTGAAAAGTGTCCGTGTTGAACT